ACAGCTTCCCTCTGGGTGTGTGCACCACGTGGTGTCCCCGGAGGTGGGGACATTCAACCTCGTGTGTCTGTGGTCTGTGCGCATCCCCACTCAGCGGTTCCATGATGCCCTACAGTGTAGGGCCTACACTCTAAGTGGCAACTTCTCTGGGCATCAGTTTCCACCATCACTGCCATCCTCCTCCTCCTCCCCCCTGACGCGGCACTTGGGCTGTGGTTCTAAGCACTTCACATTTACCAACTTGTTTCCTCATCCCAACACATCCCTGCGGCTGGGCCCATTATTCTCCCCATTGTGCAGATGAGGAAACTGAGGCCCAAGAGGTCATTCACCCGGTGGAGCCAGAATTGGAAGCCAGGGAGGTGAAATCTAGAATCTACGCTCTGCTGACCACGTAGAGACACCAAGTCGGCACCCTCTCCGCGGTTCGCTGTTGATCATGTTGCGTACACAGACGTGGGTGGACCCAGTGTGTGTGTGTGTCTGTTTGTGCTGGACCGGAATGGCAGCCCCATGGGAACGGGGATTCTGTCTTGTTCGCTGCTGTATGCCCCGTCCACACCTAGCACACTGCCCCGTGCGGAGTAGGAGCTCAATGAACCTTTAACGAATGAATGGGAGTGAACGAATGCCTGATGTGTGTGCCCAGCAGCCGGGCATGGACCTCTCCGTGAGCATTTGACGTGAGTGTCCGTGGTACGTGGGCAGAGACCTGGCTGGGAACAGGTGCTTAAGCATCGTCATTGTCGCCTGTCCACATCGGGGAGGGTTTGTCTGGGGGGAGTGCACATTCTGAAGGGCGTTTGCTGGGGAGTGTGTGTAGGTGCAGGCCTGTCCCTGCCTGGGCCCTCACACCTGGGCCCAAGGGTGTGAGCAGAGCCTGGCCTGAGAATCTGAATTTGCCAAGTTGCTATGGGGCCTTGGGCAAGTCCTCGGGTGCAAAGGCCGCTCGCTTTGTCCGCTTTGTCCGTGGTGGACGGCAGGCCCACCTGCCAGTCGGGACTCTTGGAGTAGGAGAGGGTCTCCCCGCTGAGCCAGAAGTAGCGCTTCTTGAAGGCAAAGCGAGTGGCCAGGCTGCCGGGCTCCTCCTTGCGCTTCTGCAGGTAGCCTTCTCGGACGGTCACGGAGGGCGGGACCAGGGCCCTGGCCGGGCCCCCAGCCTCTGGGAAAAGGGGAGGGGACAGTGAACCTTCCCACCAGGCTCCGCGTGGCCAGGGCCTGGGGATGAGCATGATTCTGTTTCCGTGGAGTCCACTCCCTCCATAGGGAAGGGTGTCGCTGATGGCTGGACGGGGAGCACAGACTGGCCTTGATTCCTCTCTACCGAGGGACCTGCAGGTAGTGTCGCAGGCAGCCAGCAGGGGGAGCCATGCCGTACGGAGTCAGTCCAGGGCATGCCTGAGATCAAGCCACTCGCTGGGAGCCCAACACAGGCTCCTCCCCAGCACCACAGGGACCCCTCCAGCCACTCGGGGGCTCCACATTTCAACAGGTTGCTCCTATGCGACTTCGACCCAACTCTCTCGTGACCTGGGCCCCACACTGTGATGTGGACTCAACCCCAACTCTGCTTAAAACTGCCCTGCGGCTCCATTTCACTCCAAGTCAAAGCCAAAATCCTTCCCACAAAGCCCCATGCAACCTGGCCCCTCACCTCTCCTTCGCTCCCCCCCCACCCCCACCCCCGCCCCATTCACTCTTCTTCACTGGCCTCCTCACTGCTACTCTCTGTCCCCACCTCAGGGCCTTTGCACATGCTGTTCCCGGCCTGGAACTCTCCCCCAGGATCCTCATGGCTTGCTCTCTGTCCTCTTTCGGGGTTTTACTTTTACTCTAGTGAGACTACTTCTGGCCACCCCCACCCCAACATTCCCTTCCCTTCCCTCCTTTACTTTTTCTCCTTGGCACTCGTCACTGCCTAACACCATGATTTGCTGAATCATCTTATTTACAGCTTGTTGTTTCCACTGGAATAAAACTTCCACGAAAGCAGGACTTTCTTCTGTCTTGCTCACTGCTGTTTCCCCAGCTCATGGAACAGTGCCTATTAATAGTACCCACTTAATAGATATTTGTCTATTGCGTGAACACCATGCCACAATCCCCACCTACATCTCCACATTGGCTGGAATGGCACAGTAGGTGCCAGGAAATGTTAGCTGACTGACAAGGCAAACTGTGGCTCGCGAGCCACATGCAGCTCTTTGGCCCCTTGAGTGTGGCTCTTCCACAAAATACCACATGCAGGCGTGCACATACAGTGCGATTGAAACTTCGTGGCCCACGCACAGAAGTCGGTATTTTGTGGAAGAGCCACACTCAAGGGGCCAAAGAGCTGCATGTGGCTCGCGAGCCACAGTTTGCCGACCACTGGACTAGCTGAGGCACAGTCCACAGGCTCAGTGCGAGGGGTGGGGAGGGGTAGAGGGAGGGCAGGTCCCAAGGGTCTAGGGGAGTGACAAGCCAGACGTGGCAGGGCCACCGGAACTCACCCTCCTCCCCATCCACGTCCACCAGCTGGTCCAGGAAGTCTCTCACACGTAAGATGCTCTGCAGCAGGAAGGGGTGCAGGGGAGCCATCCACAGCTCCTTGCCCTGGCCCAGCTGCTGGCCCAGGTTCCCGATGCTCTGCACAGCCTGGAGCAAAGAAGCAGGGGATTCCAGGGTCAAGGTCACTGCAGGGGCGGAGCCCTCTGTGGACCCAGAACAGAGTCCCAGAGTCCTGGCTCCCACATCAGTATTCAAAGAAGTCTCATAGCAGCACCTGCTCTGGGCAGTATCTGGCCCTCCTTGTGGACAGACATACACCCCCAGAGCCCTTATTATTCTGTTCCCTCCTGAGCCCAGGTCCCACACCCGGGATTGCCTGATCCTGTCATGCATGTCTGGAGCCCATCAGAACCTCAAAATGTGGCCACTTGGCCAAGGATGGTCTAATTCATACTAAGGTGTAAAGGACTACTAGCCTGCTTCCCACTTTCCTCCTGGAAGAGTAGGTCTTTGTTTCAAAAGAGGAAATTAGAGAGTATAATGGATGCCTTCACCCTCGGGATGAGAGCTAATGGTGGTGTTTCAGACGGGTGTTTCTGGGTCTCCTTTGGGTCTCCTTCAGGCCTGGCCTCCCCGCTCTGTTCCCACATGCTTTCCCCTCGCTCAGCGCCCCCAGGATGGGCCCTCCAGTGCCGGCACCTTGGCAAGCAGCAGCAGTGAGCGGCCGGTCTGGGGGTCTGCGTGATGGTCCCGGAGGTCAAACAGCTTCGGGGTGAGGATGGCAGGTGCAAAGAATCGCAGGAAGAGAAAGCCGCTTATGGCCAGGTACTTGACGTCCTGCCGAGAGACGCAGCAGGTGAGAGCCCCACCCCCCTCCCCGCTGTGGAAACCGAGGAAGTGAAATGGGAGATGGGTCAGAAGGCCATCCTGTCTGTCAAGGAGGCCTCTCCTTTTGGAGCCTCAGTGTGTCCATCTGGAAAATGAAGTAAGAATACCAATTCTGCACAATCAGATGTAGCCAACATCCTCAGAGTCTGCTAAGGTCGTGTCCTATGAAGGGAGCATTGTCATTATTCCCATTTACAGATGAGGCAGCAGAAGCTCAGAGATGTCAATTGACTTGCCCAAGGTCACACAGCTGGTAAGCAAAGGAGGCAGGATTCAATCCCAGATCTATCTATCTATATAAAAGGCTAAGCGACCGTCCAACCACCCGACCACCAGGGGGCAGATGCTCAACGCAGGAGCTGCCCAGCTGCAGTGACTTAGCAGCTGCAGTTCTCGGGTGATGCACCCCAGAACCAGCCGCCCCAGATGCGGCTGGCCGGGGAGGGACTGAGGGAGGTTGGCTCCAGGGTGTGTCCAGCCCGTCTAGCCCAGTCCCGCCCCACAGGCCACCTTCTAATTAATTTCCTTTCAATGTGCACGAATCCGTGCACCGGGCCACTAGTGATTTATGATAGTGAATAGCAACAGGCCAGACACTTCTCCATACATTTGTTTACTTAATACTCACCCAGGTGGTATTACACCCCCATTTTACAGAGGAGGCAAGTGAAGCCCAGAGAGGGAGGGCTACTTGCTCAAGGCCTCTCAGGAGTAAGTGGCAGAACAAGACGGAGCGCAGGCGGGGTTTGAACTCTCAGCTCTCCACCACACTCGCTTGCATTCAACACTAGCTACTGTGGAGCACTCACCTAGTCAGGAGCTGAGCCTGAACGATCACATTTAACCTTCAAACATCCCATGGGGTAGAAACTATTCTCTCCTTTTTCTAGATGAGGACACTGAGGCTCCAGAGCCTGTCCCGTGTGCACCCGCAGCCCCAGCCTCTGCCCTATACAAACTGTAAAGCGTGGTGCCTGCCCCCCCAACCCCCGCAGGTGAGGCTAGTTCCCTCAGCACAGCAGAGGGTGTGTCTCCATCCTGGGTACATCTGGCTCCCCCCAAGCCACTCCCCACTCGCCTCTCCTACTCGGGCTATATTTAGCCCCAGAGTGTTTCCGGAGTTTAGGTAGGGGCTGTGTTCACACCGGAGACAGTGCCCTCCCTGGTGGGTGCCAACTCCCTGGCCACCGTGAGCCCTGCCAGGGGCTGGGGACCTGGAGCTGCTCCTCCCTCCCTCCTCTGGAACCCTGAACTGCCCCCCAGGTCACTGCCCCCGCCCACCACGTTCAAGGGTAATTTTAGCCTTCGACATCAGCACGTGACTTCCTCCTTTTTGAGAAGGAGGAACAGGTGTCAGAGAGACAGAGAAAGGGGCTCCCCTGACCCCATCCAGACTTGTGGGCCTGAAAAAGTCCCTGCTCCCGGCCCAAGGCCTTTCCCACTGTGGGGGCTGAGAGCTGGGGATACTTGGGTGTCGCGATATTGGCTCCACCCGCAAGGGTCAGACCGTCTGGGGAGCCCGCCTCCCTTCCCTCCCGCCTCCCTGCCCGTGTCCCACTTAGCACCTCTGCTGGCAGCCCCAGGAGAGCCCAGCAAAGTGGCAAGCCACCTCCCAGTCTGGAGGCCACTCCTCAGCCGGGACTGAGCGAGAGAGAGAGAGAGAGAGAGAGAGAGAGAGAGAGAGAAAGGAGACACCCCGCCGGGGGTCTGGAGGCCAAGGCTCTTTGCCCTCTGGGCCTCAGTTTCCCCATCCGTAAACAGGAAGTGGGGAGCTCTTCACCCCGGCTCCAGGGATGGCCACAGAGCACTTCAGCGTGGCAGCCCCGTTTCTGCCTGCCTGCCTCTGTCCTGCCTCCCACGTGACCCTGGACAAGCGCCTGCCCGCCCCGGCCTCCGTCTCCCCATCTGCCCACCGGGAGTGCCCGGCCCACCTTGTGCTCGTCCTGGGGGAAGCGCTCCTCCACACGCCGATGCAGCCGCTTGAAGGCCAGGCGCATGGCAGGCGGGCAGTGCCCCACGGAGCCCACGATGGCGTCCACGATAGGCCCCAGGTAGCCCATCAGCAGCCCCAGGCTGGCCTCCCGCACGTGCTCCTCTGAGGATGTGCCCTTGAAGGACAGCCTCCTGGGGGGGCAAACAGAGTGACTGTCTCAGAGCCCAGCCCCTGCCCGCCCTCCACCGGCCCCCCCTGGGCTCGGGCAGTGCCGGCCTGCCCACCAGCCTCCCCCCTACCATGCCCCTGGCTCCCTACTGCTGCTTAAACACATGCAGCTCATTCTTGTCTGGGAGCCTTCGTCCATGCTGTTCCCTCTGCCCGGGACATTCATGTCCCCACATACAGCTTAGATGTCACCTCCTCAAAGAGGCCACCCCCTCCCCCATCGCACATCATCCCAGACCCTGAAAATGCATTTCAGCATGGACACGGCAGACACACGCTTCCACCCCAGGGCCTTTGCACTTGCTGTTCCCCTGCCTGCACCTGACCTTCTCCCTCCCCTCCTTCAAGTGTTTGCTTAAATGTCCCCTTCTCTGCGAGGCTGTCCCTGTAGCCACCCCTATGGAACACCGCAGGCCCCTCCCCTGCTCCTGGCACTTCCCTCCACCTCCCCAGCTTCGTTTCCCCCCATAACACTGATCATCTGCAAGAAGCTTCTTCTTTAGTGTAGGCTCTGTCTCCCCCAGAAGAGGGATTTGTGTCCATGTGCCCTCTGCTGTGAACTCAGTGTTCAGACGATGCCCAGTACACAGTAGGTGCTCAACAATTGTTTTGTTGAGTGGATGAGGGAGTAGCAGTTTTCTATCTGCAGTTATTTTGTTCCTTTTTGTTCCCATCCAGGTGAAGGGTCTGTGTTGCCCACTCTCAGACTGTGACCTCCGCAGAAGCCAGGCTGGGGGTTCCCTGCCCCCCCACCCCACTCCGTGTCCTGGACCCAAGGAGCTAATGCCTCTGTCATGGTGGCATTTGATCCTAATGGCAATCTGATGGACTACTAGTAAACATCCCATTTAACAGATGAGGAAACTGAGGCTCAGAGAGGTCTCCTTGCAAACAGGGCAGAGTCGAGATTAAAACTCCAGACTGCCCACTGGGGTCTGGCTACTGCCCTGCACTGCCCAGGTGCTGGGGCCCTGCTGCATCCTCGCCAGGTCTGCTGGGAAACGCCTCTGCCTTGGGGTTTCACAGACCGACCCTGCCCTTGTGCGCGGGGCCTGGGTTCAAATCCTGCTGTGCAACTTTTTCCCAACTGTGCAGCCCTTGGCAGGTGACCTCCCTCTCTGAGGCTGTTTCCTCATTGGGTAAAAAGGGTCCTGGTGCCTGGCTCCAGGCGGTCAGCAGCTGTGGGCAGCACTTGTTGGGCAGGGCCTGAAATAAAGGTAGGGCTCTCTCCTGTCCCCACCATAGTCCCCAATGGGCTGCCCAGCAACCAGCCTCATGGCCTGGCGGGAGTGGGGAAGGGCCCTGGAAAGAGAAGAGGAGCCAGGGCCCACCCGCAATGAGGGAAATTAGAAGTACTGTGTACTGGGGTGCGTGCATAGCTCAGTTCACTCGCACAGCCGCACAGGTGCGAGGTGGCTTGCACACCGGTGGTGGCAGAGCGGGGGTTTGAACCCGGGGAACCACTACACCAGGCAGCGTGAGGACTGAGGTGCCCCAGGGGAGACTTTGAGGTGGGCAACAGGGCTCCAGGGAACGGGGTGAGGGGGGCAGGGGAGGCGGGAGGGGTTAGCAAGGGACACAGACCCAGCCCGACAAGGCTCGGGGACAAGGGGGCTGTCGGGGGTCAGGGTCCCCCCTCAGCTCTGCTCACTTGGTGCGGCCCAGGTCCATCTTGCACGGGTCCAGCTCGATGTACTTCTTCTCCTCAAAGACTCGGCTAATCACCGGCTTCAGGACCTCGTGCAGGTAGGGCATGCCCACGAGCTGGGGGAGGGGGGGGGCACCACATGGGGCGGGGCTGAGGGCGAGGCCAGGGCGTGCCCGTGAGCTCCAGGCAGGGGGCACCATGCAGGGAGAGGCTCAGAGCAAGGCCCAAGGGCTGGGTGGGGGCTGCCACTCAGGTGAGAGGCCAGGCACCTGCCACCAGCTCCCCAGCTCGGCTGCCCACTGCCACCTGAAGCCAGCCAAGCTCCGGGTCCAGGTGAACCCTGGAGGGGGGCCCTTGAGGAAGCTGCTGGGCCCCGCAGGCCTTCGCCTACTCACCTTCATGAACTGCTCCATGGACTTGGATGCCAGGGAGTTAGAACGGAAGAGGGTGTTGGGGTCAGCTGGGAGGGCAGAAGGAAGTGTTTTCTGGGGTTGGGGGGAGTGATCCACCTCACCTCACCCACCCACCCACGGTGGAGGTCAGGATGCTTCCAGCCTCAGGCATGGAGGAGACCCGCAACCTCAGCTCCGTTCACAGTACCGAGGCCCAGGGTGGTTAAGCAATCTGCCTGCGGTCACACAGCTCAAGAGTAACAAAACCAGCTGGCTCCACACATGTACACACACACACACACACACACACACACACACACACACATGCATGCCTCTGTCCCCTGCTTGAGCCCCCCTCTTAGCCCCCCAGAGACCCTCTGCAGACATCCTTGGGGGAGTGCTGTCCGGGGGTCCTGTGGGCAACTCACTGGTCCGCGCCAACTCCCGCCGGGTGAGATAGTCCAGAAAGGGCCCAGCCAGGCCCTGGCCAAGAAAGAGCTTCGCCAGCTTGGTGGCGAGGTCCTGGCGGCAGTCCCCCGAGGTCAGCTCCTCCAGCACGGCCAGGGGGCTGGAGACGTCCTCCTGGAAGGACAGGCGGCAGGCGAGCTGGCCGGGGCCCTGGGACTCCGGGGCAGCTCAGACGGATTTCCCCGAAGCAGGGCTGCCAGGGTCCAGACCCCCCCAGCCCCCAGCCCCCGTGTGCCTGCTTATCTGACGCGCCCACCTCTGCCGGCTGCAGCACAGACTCCATGAGCAGCTCCAGGAGTGGCCGGTAGCACCGTGAGGGCAGCACGCGGTCCTCCAGGAGGCGCACCTTCAGCCGCAGGGCACCCAGGTTCCCCCTGACCGGGTCAGAGCACACGTGTATGTACGGATGGAAGAACATATGGGCCGGCGCGGAGATGGGCAGGTGAGAGCACAGGGAAGGAGCATGGATATTTGCAAAACAAGGTGAGTGTGGGTAGCGGCGAACAGGCGTGGCCAAGTCTAACTGGGTGTGAACAGATGTGGACAGGTCTAAACGGGCCTTGACAAGCACAGACAGTGTGAACACTGTGGCTGGTATAAGCACGTGTACGGGAATGGACAGTGTGAACAGGTGTGGACAGGCGTGGAAGGACCCAGGGTTCTGATCACACATCAACAGGTGTGAACTGACATGTGCGCAGGTGGGTGGGTTAAAGGTGAACGCATTTGGACATGGGTAAACACAACTGGGAGACGTTCACAGACATTTGTTCGGTGAATGAACAGTGTGCCGTGGTGATGGTCTGTGGGCTGAGGTGGACGCCCATGAGGACCCGCCACGAGCTGAAGATGGTACCCAACATGGTTCCAGCCTGGTCTCCTCCCTCGGCCCCACACTTACCCAGAATCCTCCTCAGCTCTGGGAAAGGGCAGGAGACGGAACCAGCCGTTGGGTGGGTTCTGCTGCAGGACCTTCGGGGGGAACTCCACCTGTGCGGGGACACAGAGCTTCAGCGGAGCCCTGCCCAGCCCCTCCCAGCCCTGGAAGAAGCACTCAGACTGCCCGCCCAAGGTGGGGTGGCACAGCCAGCCAAGGGCCACGCCTCCCCCCTCTGTGTCCCATCAACACAACAGCAGTGACACTCCCTCCCCCAGTCCTAAATGATGAGCCCTGCCAGGGCACTGAGGCCTCCAAGGACAGTTATTTGAGGAAACTGAGGCTCAGAGAGGTGGAGTGACTTGCCTAAGGTCACACAGCTGCTGGAGACAGCATGTCAGACTGGGTGTGTTCTCAGCTCTGTTCAGGGACACCATTGCACTATCACAAAGCTTAAAGACAGCCCGGAAGGCCCCCGAACCCCACCCCCTCTTTTAAATAACTTTATGGAGATATAATTGTGCCCCCTACAATTCACCTATTTAAAGTGTATCACTCAATGGCTTTCAGTATAGTCAGACTTGTGCTAACATCACTACTAACTTCAGAACATTTCCTATGAGCCCCCCAAAAGCCTGTACCCATTAGCAGTCACTCCCCAGCCCCTGACAACCACTAATCTATTTTGTCTTCATAGATATATTCATCAATTCTAAACATTTCCTACAAATGAAATCACATCACGTGGGGGGTTTTTTTTAGACTGGCTTCTTTCATTTAGCATGTTTTGAAGATTCACCCATGTTGTAGCATCTGTCGGTACTTTGTTCCTTTTTAAATATATATTTTTTAATTGATTTCAGAAAGGAAGGGAGAGGGATTGAGAGATAGAAATATCATTGATGAGAGAGAATCATTGATGGGCTGCCTCCTGCACGCCCCCTACTGGGGATGGAGCCTGTAACCCCAGGCATGTGCTCTGACCAGGAATTGAACCATGACCTCCTGCTTCATAGGTCAAAGCTGCCACTGAGCCACACCAGCCGGGCGGTACTTTGGTCCTTTATATGGCTGAATGATATTCCATTGTATGGCTATAGCCCCTTTGTTTATTTATTTGGCTGTTGATAGATATTTGGGCTGCTTCCGCTTTGGCTATTATGAACAATGCTGCTGTGAACATTCATGTACAGGTTTTTGTGGGGACATGTGTATATTTTCATTTCTTGGGTACAGACCTAGGAGTGGAATTGCTGGGTCACATGGTAACTCTATTTTCAACCATTTCAGGCACTGCCAGCACTGCATGACCAAGCCTCCCTCTTATTTGTTCTAATCTTGCCTCCTTTTAAAAACTACCAGCCCTGCCCTAACCGGTTTGGCTCAATGGATAGAGTGTCGGCCTGCGGACTGAAAGGTCCCAGGTTCGATTCCAGTCAAGGGTATGTACCTTGGTTGTAGGCACATCCCCAGTAGGAGGTGTGCAGGAGGCAGCTGATCGATGTTTCTCTCTCATTGATGTTTCTAACTCTCTCCCTTCCTCTCTGTAAATAATCAATAAAATATATTTTTTTTAAAAAACTACCAGCCCTGATATACCTGCACTGCTACCCAGAGGCAGGAACAATCCACCCATTGTACAGATGGGGAAACTGAGGTTCCAAAAGAAAGACCTTGATCCCAGTGCTTCCAGGAAGAGGAGGTAAATAAAGGCTTAGATTCTGGAGTAAGAGAGACCTGCACTCAAATCCCAGCTCTACTATTTCTTAGTCATGTGACCGTGGGAAAGCCACTTAGCCTCCCTGGGTTTCCGCACCCCGGCCTTTTAGGGAGGCCTGGAGGGTAAATGAGGTTGTGCTGGAGAAGCCCTCAGCACAGGGCCAGCACATGGTCATGCCAGGTACTCTCGTTGTAAAATCAGGAGATGGGCAGGTTCCTGCACCTTTGAGAGCCTCCGTCTCCCCAAATGCACAATGGGGCAATAGGACTCATTTCCCTGGACCTGGTGAGGCAGCCTTTACATCTACCCTCTGAGCCCCAGGGTACCAGCCCACCTCCCCTTCCTTCCCCTTGGGGGCAGTGGGGAGCCATGGAGGGTGTTGGAGGGGGCGCTCACCATGCCCAAGAAGTCGTTCTTGCCCACCATGTCCCAGTCCCAGAGCTCCACCCGCAGTGGGGAGGGGGCGCCTGGCATCTCCCGCAGCTCCAGCACCTCATCCCAGTGTGGGAAGCGAGTCTTCTTGATGGTCTGGGGGAGGAGGGGGGTGAGGAGAGAGCTGACTGGGACCCCACCACCCGATGCCCGTCTTTCCCAGTTCCCCTCCACCACTCACCGAAGTCTCCAAGCTCTGGCTGCCCCAAAACACACGCGCGAATGGGTCAGACGTGCCGGAGATGTCTCGGGGGGCCAGGTCCCTGGGGACAGATGAGGACAGGAGTGGGGAACCACAGGACCCTCAAGGACCAAAACCCAAACTGGACCTTGGAAAGTAGATTCAGGGTAGACCGTTCAAATGCCACTGGTTTCCAAGGCAATAAACTGCTCCATTGTAGGGACCCAGCGGGGAGCACCCCTCACCGTGCCTGTCCTGTTGACTAATGCTGCCCTATGAGGAGGCACTAGCGATGCCCCTACTTTCCAGATGAGGAAACCGAGGCACAGAAAGCTCAAGCCCTGCATCACCGAGCCCAGCAGGCAAAGGTGTCGTGGGGGGTGAGGCTGGGGGGTGGGGGGAGAAAGGAGCCGCTGGAAGGGAGACCAGAGGCCAGGACTCAAAGCCTGGCTCTGCGCTCCATTGTCTGGGCGTCACGGGAATGAGCTTCGGTTTCCTCATCTGGAAAACGCGAGTGATAACAGACCAACCTCAGGGGCCGAGAGTAAATGAGAGACTCGTGGAAAGGGCTCAGCATGGCAGCTGGCAGCTGGTGAGGGCTCAGGTCAGTCATTCACTCAACAAACACCATGCCCACACCTGCCTAGGACCCAACAAAAGGATGAGACAGAGACCCCTGCCTCTGGTTGTCATGACGACCCAAAAGTCTCACCCCAATCAGCCTTCCCCACTCCTCCTCCTGAGGTCCCCCAAATCCAGGGACCTCCGCCCCCCGCAGAGGAGCTTCCTCCTGCTGCTCCTCTCCCACCCATGCTCAGCATCCAAAGCCGCCTTTGGTTTCCTAGGAGCCAGCCTAGTTGCTAAGCGACAGCAATCGGTCCCTTTCCTGTTGCAAGAATCCTGCACAGCCTTGTGGCTGGGGAGGAGGCCCTGGGCGAATAGCAGACAAGGAGCCCTGTCCCATGCTGAGTCCTCTCTCCTGTCCCCTGCCTCTCCTCTCCCCCCACCCCACCCGCCGCCCCCAGTACTCCACCCAGACTCCAGGGATCCCCAGCTGGGGACAGAAATCTGCAGGTGGTGGGAGAGACACAGAAAGGGCAAGAAAGGACTTAAAGTCACACAGCAAACTAGAAATTGAGATGCTCCCCAACCTTGGCAAGAATCAGCCTAAAAGGGAAGGTTGGGGGAGTAAGGTGTGAAAAAAAAAAAAAAGGCAGAAAGACAAGATGCGAGATAAGAAGGGAATGGGGGAAAGTATTTAAGGAAGCAGAATAATGGGGGAGCTCAGAGAGAGAGAAAGGGGATTACAGAGTGATAAGCAGGCAGGAGGAGTGAGGGCTGTCCCATGAGCTGGTGCCCTGGAGGGTCACTGTGGGGTTTGCTGGTCCTGAATCTGTCTTCCTCCGGATGTTTCTTTGGGGCAGGACCCCTCCCCTCCTCACTCCCAGCCCACGTGATCTCTTCGGGGCTGATCCCTCCCTCCACTCCAGGAAAGGGCTGTGACTCAGGCCTGACCAATCAGTCAGTGTAATTGACTCAGAGACAGGCATGAGCCAATAAGAAATGCTCCCAAAACATTGGTTGGAAATGGATAAGAGATAGAAGTTCTTTCTCAGTTGGGGCTGCCAAGTTGTTAGGATGGCAGCTGAGGCTGCTGGGGTCATCGTTGCCTCCACCTGGGGAAAGACTTAGAATGAAGCCAACACAAAAGACAGCTGAGGAAATCTGTCTACAGAGTCCCGGTGTCACCCTTTGAGCACCTGGATCCAGCCATACCTAAAGCTACATGTCATTCAGATGAGACAGTCTGCTTCAGTCCGTATGCACTGGGTGACTACTGCTTGCACTTTGACTAATATACCTCCTCGCTCATGTCTGGCCATCCCGAGTGTCTGGCCTTTGGTTGCTGGTCCCTGCTCATTCTCAGATCACCGCCTACACCCCACACCGTGACCCTACCTGGCCTTGAGCACATGGCAGCGAAGACAGCGGCCCCGCACATCTTCCAGCATCTGCACAGCCAGGTAGATCTCACCTTGCACCTCGGCATCCGGGTCCACGGGGCTCAGGTTAATCCAGCTGTCAATTCCTGGAGGGCACAGGCGTTAGCAGTTGTTAAGCACCTACCATGTCCTAAGCGTTGTGTGTGTGATGGTCTTTGGTTGTGAATTCATGTTTGTTTGATCTCATTCTGTGGGAAACCGAGCATGAGGCTGCTTATCCCTGGAGAGGAGCGGTGCTTGCTCATTCTGGGCCTCTTTAAGGGCCTCGGTCTAATGGGGAGTCTCGGGGTCGGGACCGTCTGCCTTCGCCCTGGCTCAAGATTTAGTCTGTTGACTGCAGATTAGATACTGACATTGACTTTCGGGGAACTCCTTCCTTATTCCCTCGCTGTCACTCCCCGTTAAGTTTTGCTGACGATTGGGGGATGGGAGGAGAATACTGGGCAGTTTTTCTTCTTTACAGCAAGTCCAACAACGTATTAGGAATCGCATCTAATTCAGGAGCTCCCTGTCACATAGCAGGAGGGCCCTTCTGAAGGTGGAGTGCCCCCGGCTGCTGGAAATGAAAGTCCCACTTCACCTCTATCTCCACTCCAACCCCCAAGTGCAGGATGCTGTCAGCTTTCTCTCACTCGATTATTGCACCGACTCCAAATTGATCTCTCAGCTCTACTCCTGTCCCACTGTGATCCAGTATCCACAAAGCAGCACAGAGATCTGAAAACGTATCTAATCTCTCTTATCAGTCTCTCCTCCTCTGATACGGCTCCACTCTCTCCGCTGTCTTGCTCAAGGCCTATCAATGGCTCCCCAGTACCTCCCAGAAAAGGTCCAGGCACCGAGGGCCATCTCCAATCAACCCCCACACAATACTCCATCTGGCCCGGCCCACGCCTGACCCTAGAAGAGAATCCATGGAGATGGGCCTTCGCCTCTTTGCCAAAGCACCTTTAAGGCCCCACTCCTCCCCCTTCCTCCAGGAAGCCTTCTTGGACCACCCGCCCACTCCTCCCCTGCCCTGTCATACCAGTGATGTTCCACATACCGCCACCCCCACATGTCTGTCCTGTCTAAAAACAAAAACGGAAATAATTTTCCACGGAGAGCTCTGTGCTTCTCGTGACACTTGCTCTGCCCTTGCAACGCCCACTCTGGGCATGGCCACCCCTCCTCCCTCTGCCGGCTGAGGACCGGCGCCCCTCGCCCACCTCGGGGGTCAGCGGCAATTGCCTCCCTGCTCAGCGAGATCTTGCCGATGATGTCATCATGCCTGTGGGAAGGGAGCAGGGGAGGGGCCAGGTCAGGAAAGGGACAGGCATCAAGGGTGGGCAGGTAGGTGGATACTTTGCTCTGGGGTGTCCGCCTCCCCTCAGATGCCAGGCCTGGGTCCCCAGCACACATACCCCACCGTATCCTCGTCCAGCACATAGAAGGCCAGATGGTGGAAATCCAGGGGCAGGTGCACCGTGTACTCCTCCCCCCAGAAGGGGCTCAGGCTCCGCCAGACAGTTGCTGTCCTGCAAAAGGGGGCACAGGGGGCTGGGGGGACTTGGGCCACACAAGCCACAGACACCTGGGCCCCCAGGTGCACATGCGCGGACACACACACACACACACACACACACACTCCCACAGGGATACACTGAAACAGACACTCCTAGATACACCAAGGAGGCCAGAGACACAGACACACATATGCAGCCTCAGAAACTTCTAGAAATACAAATCGATGTGTTTCTACACACTGACACATGTGAACACACACAAAGAAAACAGTCACACAAACCCACAGACACACTCACATACGTACACAGCAGGCACACATATAGAATCACACAAACACAGTAACTAACAACACGCATGATTCCGTCCATCCATCCATTCATGCATTCACTGGGTGCCAAGGCATATGGGTTCTGGGGGAATCAGAGGAAGAGACACCAAGGCCCATGCTCCCTCCGAGCCCCCTCAGCAGCCAGGTGCGCTCTCCCGAGCTCTATGGCACAGTGAGAGTCCTGTGCTGTGGTTAGTACCTGGTTGGGTCTGGGAGTGGGGGGTTGGAGAGGTCCAGGAAGGCTTCCTGCAAGAGCTAGTCAGGCAGAGTGGGGAGAGAGGATGAGGACAAGCATCCCAATGGCTAGGACAGCATGTGCAAAGGCCCTGAGGCAGGGATGAGCTCGGTACTTTTGAGGAACAGGAAGGTGCTGGTTGGAAAGGGAGGAGTGTGAGGGGCCAGAAGACTAAGTCAGCAGGAGCCAGAGCACTCAGTAAGCCAGGGGGAACCGTGGCAGGGTTAGGGACCAAGACAAGCTCAGGCGCAGGCACACCCATAGGGCATCTTCACGCCGGCACCCCTGCAGACCCACTTCCCTGTACCCAACAGAGAACAAAGAACCTCCGTGCTCAGTGAAGACACACCCAAACGTCTGGCTGCGAAATCTGGTTGGCACACCTGCCACTCCCATCTTCCTTTTACACACTCTTCCCCAACAGAGCGTGAGTGTGCACACGCACGTGTACATGCACCACGCTCTGCCGTCTAGCCCAGGGCACCACCATCCGTTGGACACTTCCTCCCCCTAACCCTGCCTCTTCCCAGCTGGAAGTCCCGCCCCAGCCCCACAGGTGGGATGCTCCTCCGAGCCCAGAGAGGGGGAGACAGCAGCCTGCGGCGACACAGAACATCAGCCTGTGGGTTTGTGGGGAAGGGGGCGGCATGAGCACAGAGAGAACGATGGAGGGGGTCAGCTGAGTGCTGTAGGCTGACCTTCCCCCCATATGGGCTCCCTGCCCCCAGCTCCCAGTCCATCTGGACCGGAACCTCGCCAGCAGCATCCTGAATCCTGCTGTCTCCATAGGAACCGAGGCCTCAGCCATCCACCCACCCACACCCCTCAGGCCTGCGGGGGCTGAGAGCTGTCCCTTGATCGGCCTGCGGGGGTGGGAACCAAGCATGACCCAGCCTGATGTCCCCCCTGCCCAGACTCGCTCACACATCAAACACCCTTACACCTTCACATGTGCTCACATTGGTGCCTGTGCACCCCGATAAGCAGGCAGCGGTGCGCACGTGTGTACAGGGCAGCCCGTGTGTGTGGGCACACATGCACACAGACCACACACTGCTACACATAGTGAGCCTGCATTCCCACAGGGACACGTCCATCTGGACACCAGCCCTCCAACACCCCCATGGACACTCAAGCAGGCCAGCTGGGCGCAGGCGCACACACACAGCCTGGTGCCCGCAGCACCCAGCAAGCAGGCCCGGAACCAGCCAGCCCAGCCAAGCGTGAGATGCCCGCCCCCGGGGAGGCCACCATGGGAGGCACAGGCTGGCAGCCGCTGAGTCAGCCCCGGGAGCCAGCAGGGACATGGTCAAGTCCAGGGGGAAGGTGCGGGCCAGCTGGGCTGGGTGGGGAGAGGAGCTGGTGGCCCCCGCTGTCCGGTCCGGGGCCAGGGCACAAAGCACCACCATCAGGCTGCAAGTCCACCGCTGGGGTGAGCATCGCCCTCCCCGGCCCCTCTTTTCCTGGTGGGTTCTTGTGCCTGGACTCCCCAGGGCTAGACGGAGCCCCTCCCTCGGCCCTGCTCGCCCCACCCCAGCCCGGCCTCCACTCCTCACCTGGCCACCACCTCGTCGTCCACTTTCACTATGCAGTAGGGGTCACTGCTCCCAGACCTGCGGAAGGAGGAGGTTGAGAGGGCAGTCGTGGGCGGGGACCCCAATCTGCCTTCATTTCACAGGAGGGTGCAACAGAGGCCCAGAGAGGGGAGGGGACCTGCCCAGGGTCACACAGCAAGTCCAGCTGCAAAGCTGGGGACCAGCAGGAGGTCATGGCTGCTCAGCCTGCCCGCTGCGACCCCGACCCAGCAGGCGTGGCCTCCCTGGGTGTCCACCTACAGAAATAGAACACGGAGGCACAGAGCGAGGAAGTGCAGAGTCCCTGTCCCAGGAAGCCCAAAGCGAGTGTGTGCGGGGGAGTCACACCTGCTTCCCCACCTGCTGGCTGTGGGGCCCTGGCAAGCCCCGGCCCCTCTGTGGCACTCAGTGCCTCTGCCCTATGAGTCAGGAAGAGCATTAACATATACCCCCTGGGGCAGAGGAGGAACTAAGAGGCACGCGAGGTGCAGGCAGCCCAGGCTCACCCAGAGCCTCTCTGGCCTTTCATTGCAGCGGGTTCCCCTGGGCGGGGGACACACGGTGCTCAGCCGCCAGCAGGGATGGAGCTCAGCAGCTCTCGCTGCAGACAGACCAGGGCACCCAGACCTCAAGCCTCCACCGCCCACCTGGCAGCCAGGATCCAAGCGCAGGTCCACAGGGCTCAGCGCACAAGCTCCTAACCAAGGCTGCCTCCAGCCCAGTGGCCCTCCCTCCACGCCCGGCCCCCACCTCTCTCTCTCCGCCACCTCCTCTCGGTTCAGCTGGTCAGCGATCCACCCCTGCCTCAGGGATTCCCAGGAGCAGGGACGTGGGCACCGGGACTGGAGAGCCCTCCCTGTGCCTCAGTTTCCTCTCGGGGTTCCTTCCCTTGGCCCCCTTTGCTGGGCGCTCCATCTGGCCCCCCTCCCTGAACATCTCAGACTGGGCGGTGGCTTGTGTCTCTGAGTTCCTCTCTAGGTTCTCCATGGAGTGCCCTGGGCCTCAGTTTCCCCACCGGGCTCCACCCCCCTGAATGCCCGCGGCTGGGTAACCCCTACATCTCATTGCTCTCTCTGGGTTCTCTGACCCTGAGCTTCTCTAAAGCGGCTCC